CCCGGCGTGAGTTTTAAGCCACTGGGTCCGGGACATGAACCGCGGTCGACTACGTGGGAGTCCAGCGACATAGTCATTACGCTAACTGCTGGTTCCCAAAGCTTTTAAAATTTTGTTAACTGGTATTTTTGACATCATTCTTATAAATTTTTTTATCTAAAAAGTTTACATTCCTGTAATGTTAGTTGATGAAAATGATCATAATTTATCTAGAATAAATACATAGTCAATATATACTTTGTGTATTAATTTTGTAGAAGAAATTTTAGACAGTAAGACTGTCTAAAATAAGCACCGATATTTAATAAATCATTTATTGGATAACTTGTCAGCTTATTTGGGTTGAACAAAGGTATATTCTGCTCTGAGGAAAACGAATGAAGTTTTTTTTTTTTTTTTTTTTTTGGAGAGTTTTGTTTTTTTTTTTTGCTATAGGGTACGTGCGCTTGCCAGAAAGACAGAGACAAAGAGACAGAAAGGAAATAACCTCCAAAGGGGATGGCCACGCCACACTCCCTTCTCCTCCATTCTCCTCTCAGGATCTTGGGCATGTACGCACACACACCCGGCATGAGTTAAAAGCCACCAGGTCCAGGACTTGAACAGCAGTCGACTACATGGGAGTCCAGTGACATGGCCATCACGCTAACCGCTGGTTCCCCTTAATGAAGTTTTAATTAAAACTGTTCTTGACATTGAAATGCCTTGTTTTGAAACATATTTTCTCCTCATTTTCTGTTAATTCTGCAGAGAACTGGAACACAATAACCTTACACGAGTCAACAAGGGTTGGCTGTATGGCTTACGAATGTTACAACAGCTCTATGTGAGCCAGAATGCTATTGAGCGGATCAGCCCTGATGCTTGGGAGTTTTGCCAAAGACTATCTGAACTGTAAGTGTTGATGGCATTTTATTGGATTTTGGGAGACTAGAGCATAGCCAGTAGAAAGATTTAACATCCTCCTTTACTAGAAGTTTGTTGAAAACTCTAAATTTATCATGTTGAACCAAAACACGGTGAATTGCTGACCTTCTCTGGTTCCCTTTTTTTCAGTGACTTGTCCTATAACCAGTTGACCCGCCTGGATGAATCTGCCTTTGTGGGTTTGAGTTTACTGGAGAAATTGAATTTAGGAGACAACAGAGTTACTCACATCGCCGATGGTGTGTTTAGGTATCTTTCCAGTCTTCAGACTCTGTAAGTAAATCTGTCCTTTTTTGAGGGATGAAGGGTGCTAATTTTTTAAATGCAATAAAGCAAATTAATTAAATCAGTCTGTACATTTTCTTGTGCTGATATGTTGTGGCTTTTCTGTCCTATGCCTCAGGATAGGACAATCTTATGCTCATAAATAAATGAGCAATCTTTGTGCCCATAAATAAATCTCAAGTCTGTAGTATAGTAGGCTGTCTAGTTTGTATTTTTTTAAAGATATTTTTATTTATTTATTTATTTATTTATTTATTTTCTAGGTTTTTGTCATAGGGCTCATGTGCTTACCAGAGACACACACACAGAAAGAGGGGAGGTGAGAAATATTCCTCAGAAGGGATGACCATGCCGCAATCCCTTCTCCATTCTCTTCTCGAGATTTTGGGCACGCACACACATGGTGCCCAGGGTAATTTTCAAGCCCATGTGTCTGGTACTTGAACCACAGTTGGTTGTATGAGAGTCCAGCACTTTAACAACTACACCACCTGCTGGCCCCTCAATTTGTATTTTAATTCCGAGTTAATAACCTGAACAGTAAAGCCTCTCTTACTGTTCCAGTTGCTATGAAATAACACAATTGCTAGTGTCAAGAATACAGTCATTTTCTTGTTCCTCTTATCTCTTCAATGCACTGGATCTAATAGTTCTCATTCAAAAGAATGCAGGAAGGCCAGCAGGTGACATGGTGGTTAAGGTGCTAGACTCCCACATTACTGACTGTGGTTCAAATCCCAAACCTGGAGATTTGATTTCTCTCTCTCTCACTCTCAGTTTCTCTCTGGAAAAATAAAAAAAGAATAACAAGTAAAGTTTAAAAATAAAATAATTTAAAAAAATACTGCCCTAGGAAAATAAAATACTAAAAAAGAAAAAAAAATAGAAAAAGGAGAACACTCGGCATATGTATGTGCATGTCCAAAATCGCAGAAAGAGAACTGGAGAAGGGATTGCAGCATGGCCATCTCTCTTGGGGGTAAAGGGTAATTTCTTATCTCCCACACCCAACCCCATCTCTCTGTTTTTCCCAGTGAGTGCACATGCCTTACAACAAACTGAAAAAACAAAGCAGAAAAAAACCAAAACAAAAACAAAAAAAGACTTAGGATGTGTAGTGCTAGCAGCTCTGGCTGCTAGTTTGCTACATGACTAACACTTAGTATCTAGTATGTGCAAGGTGCTTTCAGATAGTAGGATGTTATTGTTCTTTTCCATTATAGAAGGCTGAGATTCAAAGAGGTTAAAATAATTGGGCTCAAAGACACATAGCTTTGTAAATGTTTGGACCAGTACTAGAATCTAGATCTGTTTGATAAATTTTTATCATACTAATAGATGAGCAAAATCACTTAATATTCCCTGGCATCATTTTCTTTGTCTCTTTGTCCAGTGAAGGGAGGACATAGGATTAGATAGTTGATAAAGGTTATTTCAACTCTTTAAATTCTGTGGTTCTATAAATTGAATGTTTAACTGATTATAGAATGTAGTTATATTGAGTGAAGCGGTATTTTAATGAAATGTAGTACTCAAACAGAGCAGAATAAAAGGAAACAAAGAATGATTAGAATTTGTAGATTCTTTTTCTTTTTTTTTTTTCTAGAGGGTTCATGTGCTTGCCAGAGATAGGGAGAACTCTCCCTTCAGTGGGGAGTGGTCATGCTACAATCCTTTTCTCTATTTCTTTTTCCTGTTAGGATTTCGGATATACATGCACATGTGCCTGGTGTGTTTTCAAGCACTTGGTGCCAGGATTCAAACCCTGCAGGCAACCATGTGGGATCCAGCTCCGTTAACCATTAGGCCATGGGGCTATCCTCTTGATTTTTAAGTTTTCTGAATGAGGACTTTGGTCATCAGGTTCAGAGTTCATAAGTAGTTTCAGAAAAGAGGCAGACTGCCAACTTTGAGAAGAAAAGCATGATAATTTTACAAAGGTGAATATACATGCACAAGCATGTATTTGACTTTTTGTGTGTAGGCATAATCACTTAAAAATTACTATAGGGTGCATATGCTCACGAGAGAGAGAGAGAGAAAGAGAGAGAGAGAGAGAATGAGAATGAGAATGAGAGCATCTGTCAGGAGATGGCTGCACTGCCGTCCCTTCTCCATCCTCCCCTTGCGATTTCAGGCACACATGTACACACTCCAGTGTGTTTTTCAAGCCTCTGGTCCGGCCCTCCAACTGCACAGCCTGCCATGTGGAATCTAGTGCCTTAATCTCTCTCCCATCTGCTTGTCCTATTTGATATTTTTAAACTTCCTTCAGATTTAGTCTTAAAAAATAAGTGATTTATTTCTTTTTTCTCTTTTTTGTACATTATCAGAGGTGAAACTAGATCAGTGCAAACTGAGAAAAGTAAGTCAGATGCCACTGTAGTCTTTTAGCAGTTCACGAGAGGGCAAAGAAGTTTTCTAAGTATGTATGGTTTATGACTTTTTTCCTTTGTTCTTTTTAACTGTGAGAAAAAGTACTCCCGAGTGGGACACGGTCATAACACAATCCCTTTCCTCGTTTCTTCATCCCATCAGAATTTTTGGCACGCACACAGATGCACCTGGTATATTTTTCAAGCCACTAGATCTGGAGCTTAAATCACATGGCTATGTGGAACCTGGCTCCCTACACACAGGGTTCAACCACTGTGCTATGGTTTACCCTACTTTTAACATTTTTATTATTATTATATACTTACAGAATTAAAGTTTAGGAAAGCAATTTCAATTGCAGAGGGAAATGGTTGCCATTTTCTTTCCCTCAGTTTGGTGAATGATTTCTGTTTACTCTGTTGTGGCAGAGGGGGAACATCCTGAAGAGTTGAGCCATTGGTTGTTTTAGTGTTTATTCCTTAGTAAAATAAAATGAGCTTTGTTAGTTTTTCACCTCAAGTAAAGAGAACTAAGGGAGAAGAGGGATGGATCTCCTATGTCCTTACTGTTAATCACGCATCTTTACATGTCTTATAAAGCAGAAAACTTGAGCTTAATTTCATTATGAGATGGCTTAAGGAAGCAAAAGTGAGTAAATATTTTTGACTGATATTTCTTCCATCAGCACATGGTTGGTGCAATTGTATTTCCCTCTGGGACTGAAACAGTGGATTTTAAAGGATTCACACTTTTCCTTCCAAAGAAAATACAGTGACTACTCTAACACATGGATTTATCCATTCTTGCTTCTTAGGGGACATGTTTAATAGCTCTTGAACTATGACGCTCTCTGTATTGATATTATTCTTTGTCAGCCATTTTAAGTTTTAGGGCCCAGAGAAAGGCTTGCGTCACCAAGAAATCCTATTAGTCTGAAATCAGATATAGTAAGCTATCGCCACTGTATCCTCCTGATTTTTGTGGGATCTTGTCAATAATTTTTAATATATACAATTAGGATGGTCACGCCACATTCCTTCTTCTCCACTTCTCCTTCCTTTCAGGATTTGGGGCATATACACACACATGCCCAGCCACCAGATTAAAAATTCAAACCATGCAGTCAGCCATGACCTTCTTAACCACGATGCCACTGGCTGGTCTCATGAATAGCTATTAAAATAAAGATAAAAATTACCCATGTAGCCTTTCACTGCCATGCTAGGATTCTACCCCATAGTGTGATAGTCTTGTTAACTAACCTAATAAGTGTTACCCTGACATTTTTTCTAGAGACTTAAGAAACAATGAAATTTCATGGGCCATAGAAGACGCTAATGAGGCCTTTGCTGGACTCACAAGTCTCACCAAACTGTATGTACTTATAGTAATAATATTTCTGTATGTCTATAAACATGTATTTATAAGGACCAGTTGTAAACGAGATTGGATTAGGTTTATTTGATATGGCTAGAAAGTGAGTCTTTAGACTCATCTATTAAAGGAAGGAGGTTTATCAAGTGGCTTTGTTGTTCTCTGGGATTTTGTTGTTGTTATGAGGGGGGAGGTGTTGTGGCATGGCCACCTCCACAAGAGAACATTATTTATTTATTTATTTTTAGAGAGGTTTTCGCTATAGGGTGCGTGCGCTTGCCAGACAGACAGAGAGAGACAGAGAGACAGAAAGCGAGAAATCACCCCTCCAGGGGGGATGGTCATGCCGCAATTCTCTTCTCCATTCTCCTCTCGGGATCTTGGGCACACACGCACACGCGCCTGGCGTGAGTTTTAAGCCACCGGGTCCGGGACGTGAACCGCGGTCGACTATGTGGGAGCCCAGAGACATAGCCATTACGCTAACTGCTGGTTCCCCACAAGAGAACATTATTGAGAGGGCATTCCTACGGTCAATGAAAGAGAAGTTATTTATGAAATAGAATTTCTCTTCAAGTAAAACGTATGTACCAGAAACTAGAATTTAACTGGTAATCTGTTTCTGTGAGATTTATTGGTAACTTAGCAGAAGGATTTTAGATCTCACACGAGAACAGTTTTTTTCAAGGGTTCGTGCTTGTATTTTTTTGACCTGATCTTTTGCTAAGAAGGGAGAAATGGGGAATATAATCCAGTATATGAAAAATACTAGTTTATCAGTGGTCAGCATGATTGTTCAGTGGTACTTCCTTGGACTCTAACATCTTAATAGAACCCTTTATTATATGCTTTGTATTGTTTAATAGTAAAATGTCATGTGAGTTTAAGCCACCAGGTCTGGGACGTGAACCGCGGTCGACTACATGGGAGTCCAGTGACATAGCCATTACGCTAGCTGCTGGTCCCAAAATGTCATAATTTTGTTTAACATGCATGTCCTCATCAGATTGTACATTAAATGTGTATAGTTCATTGTTTATCAGTTACATCTCAGAGCTGGTAACAATTTTTAAAAAATGCTTGTTAAGTTTACTTTCACCTTTTATAGGTAAATGTTTAATGAATTTAATTTTGTTAGTGGAAAGCTTTATTTGAAAGGTCTGTTTGCATTTCAGAATCCTACAAGGAAACCAGATTAAGTCAATTACAAAGAAAGCATTCATTGGTCTTGAGTCTCTTGAGCATCTGTGAGTATTTTGCATATACTTTTCTTACTTTGTAAATAATTTTTGTTATTAGCAGAGATTTTCACAACCATTCAAAGTGTTCATAAAATTTAATTGTATAAATGGTGACTGTTATGTTCTATTTCTCTTCATTTCAGAGATTTAAACAACAATGCTATAATGTCTATCCAGGAAAATGCTTTTTCTCAGACTCACTTAAAAGAACTGTAAGTAACTTAAGTTTTTTTTTTTTTCAAGTTACCAGTTAGATTGTTATCTATGCTTATTGTGCTTAAAAATGTGACAGAGGTGAACCAAATGTTTCCAAATGCACACATAGTTCAGGCAGGAAACAAGAAAGTGCTAATACTCAGTTTACTGGATGTAATTTTAAAATAACCCAACATTGAAAAGCCTAGATTATGTAGCATCGAGATGTTCAGTTTCGCCTTGCCAGTGCTTATAATTAGGAGACCTTACCTCTGCTCTTTGGGATTTTTTTTTTTTTTCCATTAAAAGAAATTTTTTTTTCACTTTATCACTGTACATCTTAACAGCATACAAAATGCATTTTTGTGCCTTGATACACTATATATCAGTTGAAAGATATCTTACCATTATTATCAGCAGACAATTTTCCATTTTTGTGTGTTAAATGTTTTTGCTTCCCCCCCTTAGATTCCCTTCTTCCTTTCCCATTGCCCACCTTTCTCCTGCATTGTCTTTAGTTTGCTATTATTATTATGTAAATGTCAAGAAAAGCAGTTTTAGCTTTAATTAATCAAAATTTAAGAGAGTTAGGGAAATTTGTTCAAGACTCACAGTTTTGATATTAAAAACTCAAAAACCAAATATGAACAGAGCTATAATCTAGTAACAATTGCACTATAATTTTCCTCTGAAACATTTTTTTCTCTCTCCATTCTCCCTTTTACCAAAGAGAAGCATAAACTAACTTATTTGCAAAAAAATATATAAGTTTATTCTCAATTTGGTCTGTTATTTGTACAAAGCCCCATAAAAATACTACTTGATTTAGTTGACTTTTGTGGAACCTTTTTTTATGGAAGTTCAGATTAGAGTCTTTAAAAAACCTCCCAAGGCTACTGAGCCAAATTGGGAATTCACTATCTGCCTGTGTCTTTAAGAGCGAATCTGTACTGGGAAGTTTTTGATCCTGTCAGGAAGTGACGTTCTTTACTTACCTGCCAGGCAGAACTGTTTATGGTACTAGAAAACCTTTGTAGGAGCTTCTTTTGGCTTTCTTGAGATCTACCTTAGTTCCTTTGCTTTCTGGTCGTAACTTCAGATGTGACATTCTGGTCAAAAAGCTCTGGCAATAACCAGTGTTACCAGTTTCTGATGAAAGGCAACAGGTATTATTGAACTAGTACAAATTAACCATACTGCCACAAAATAAGAATTCTCACTTTCCAATTCCAGAGGGGTCAGGAAGTAAGAAAAGTTTATGTTCCAATTCCGTTTTCTTAAAAAAAATTTTTTAAACAAATTGCTGAAGCTATCTATCAATGCTCAAAAGAAAACAAAATCCTTAAATTTGGAAAACAAAATCTGTAATATATTAGTTAAAGATCATAAAATTTTATTTTACCAGTTCAGTCTCATTCAATTAATCTCTGTTCTGTTGAGTTTGCAGTGTACTGTGGTTTGATCTTTCTATTATAAATCCTGGAAGTTTAGAAATACGATGTCAAAGTTATCAAAAACCTATATATGACAGTACTTATCAGAATCTTTTTCATTAATTTCCTTTTAAAAGCCGCTTTTTGGATTGTAGCCTACCAGAAAATGTTTTAGAAAGAGCTGTGGACAATGAAACTTAAAATGGCCATGGTTTGAAATCTGATTTTACCATAACCCAGAATTGACAAATTTGATCATTGCTGTGACAAACTACATTAGAACTGTTTAGCATTACAAGTATGACTAATAACATACATAACAGATATTTAAGAATTTCATACAATTTTGGAACACTCATTGACACAGATTTCTATACATACAGAGCTAAAGCCCATTTCATATTTGACAGTGTTTCTCATATAATTTTAACATGTCATAAAAGTCTAATATGTCTTTTATTTTTTTTTTTAGTTGTGGCAGTACCCAGCACTTTTTCTTTTTAGCAGAAATACATGAAAAGTAAATATATTTTTAAAAGGAAAGCAACAAATTTGACCCGAAACTCAAAAATGTATGACTCAAGCTCCTTGGATTTTATATATATTCTGCTATTCTTTTTTGTTTGTTTGTTTGTTTCAGCTCCCTGTGTTCCTTTTTGGACTAGCAAAAACATGTGTTCCCAATTCTTACCTTTTGGGTGGATTGCAATTAGGGTATTATATGATTTTGTTTTTTAGTTTCTGAGAGGTGATATAGCACTTTCAGTATAATTGCTATAGTGGATATATTTAATCTTGTTCAAACTACTAAAGTGCTCAGAAACTGTTTTAAGTAGAAAAAAATTTCATTTTACACTCTTTAAAAATTGCTCTTTCTGATGTAGAGATTTCCTTAGGGGAGGGGAGGTTAAGTGGGCATTGGTATTAATTCTTTTTTTGGAGAGGTTTTTGCTATAGGATGCATGCGCTCGCCAGAGAGACAGAGAGAGACAGAGAGACAGAAAGCGAAAAATCACCTCCCAGGGAGATGGCCACACCACAATCCCTTCTCCTCCATTCTCCTCCATTCTCCTCTCGGGATCTTGGGCATGCACGCACACGTGCCTGGCTTGAGTTTAAGCCTCCGGGTCTGGGACTCAAACTGCAGTCGACTACATGAGAGTCCAGTGACATAGCCATTACGCTAACTGCTGGTCCCCCAAATTTTGAGAAATCAGTTTGATATGCAGCTAGGGGTAACAACCATTGGCCTATAGCATAATCATTATTTTACCTTGCCTGGATGCTATTGAAAAGATGGTCTGTGGACCAAAACTGATTCATGGCAAGATGAGGACAGAAACTGAGAGTAAGGATTTAGAAACTTGTAGAACAATTTAACACTATTGTGACACTTCTATTGTAGTTTATGAAAGTGTTCTGTGGTGGATTGGAAATTTAAAAAACTCATTCTTACCGCAGATAGTTTGAGATACCTTAGGAATGTATAAGTTTTCAATTTTCCTATGCTCAAATCCTTGCTCCATTTCTTGTAACTATATGACAGCAGGGAAATAGTTTAGCCTAGACTCAGTTTCTCTTCTTAAAATGGGAATAGCACCTCCCTTAGGTTTATATGAAGATAACTTATTTACCCAAATATTTATTCATCATCTGCTGTGAACAAGACAAAGCTTCTGACCTTATCACATATTAATAGTGAATTTTTAAAGAAGGTAATAAATCAATAGATGTATAACATCTTATCAGGTAATGAGTGTTCTGACGAAAAATAAAACTAGGTCAAAGGTAGGGAACGTGACAAGGATTACTATTTTAAATAAAGTAACAAGGGAAGGCAAAAACCTAATTAAAAAAAGAGAAGACTCTCTTGAAGATACAGCATTTGAACTGGGACCTTAATGAAATAAAATGGCAAGCCATAGGCATACTGGGTGAGGGGCTCTCCAGGCACAGAGCAGAGCATGTGAAATGCAGTCTGAGTTAAGCAGGAACCAGATCATGTGGGGTCTTAGAGGCCATGAGGAAGTAAGACCCCCTCCCCACTGTATTTGGAAACTTGGAGGGTAACAACAGATATTTTAGAATTAGGGAAATCATTATTAATTACTCTCTGTCAGATTTTAGTTTTTGCTGTAGAGTACATATGCTTGCCAAAGAGAGAGAGAGAGAGAGAGAGAAATCACCGCCTGGGGGTGGCCATGCTATGGTTCCTTCTCCAGTCTCCTCTTGGGGTTTTGGGCATGCATGCACATGTGCCCAGTATGAATTTTAAGCCTCTGGGATGAGGACTTAGACCATGCAGCCATCTGTATGGGATCCAGCACCTTAACCTCCACACCACCTGCTGGCCAATTCTTTGTTTGATTCTTTTTTGTTTTTATTTTTTTAATAGTTTTTGCCTCAGGGTATTTGTGCTTGCCAGAGAGAGAGAGAGAGAGAGAGAGAAAGAAATCACCACCACTACCCCCCCCCCCAGGAGAATAGCCATATCGTAGTCCCTTTTCCATTTTCCACTTAGGATTTTGGGCATGCACACAACGCATGCCTGGTGTGATTCTCAAACCTCTGGATCCAGGACTTGAACCACAAAATTGGCTATATGGGATCCAGCTCACCCAACCTCCATGCCACCTTCTGGCCCCTCTGTCAGAGTCTTTTCTTTCTTTTTTTTTTTTTTATTACAGAATTATTAATTAATTTATTATTATTTTTTAATTTGACCAGAGAGGGAGAGAGGGTAAGTGAGAAAGCAAGCCGCCAGGTCTGGGACTCAACCTGTGTCCAGCCACATGGGAGTTCAGAACTTTAAACACCACACCAGATGACCCCCCATCAGATTCTTATGTTTGTGGTTGGTCACTTTGACAAAGATACCTTGTTTGATCAAACCTTAGTCAGGTTCCTTAACCACCTTCTAGGACTGTCTGTGTACTTTCTTAAAAAATCTAGTGTTTTTTTGCTATAGAGCTTGTATGCTCGCCTGAGAGAGAGACAGAAAGCGAGAAATTGCACCCCCCCTCCCCCCAGTGGGAATGGTCATACCGCAATCCCTTCTCCATTCTCCTCTCGGGATATTGGGCATGCTCGCGCATGCATAGGCTCCTGGTGTGAGTTTTAAGCCCTGGGTCCAGGAATCAAACCATGGTCAACTATGTGAGAGTCCAGTGATGTAACCATTACATCATCTGCTGGTCCCACAAAATCTAGTTTTAACAAGAATCTTTTGACTTCTATGTCTGGTCATCCTTATATCTGATCAGGTTCTTCATTCTACACCATTCCCCAGGTGATGTCTGATCAGCCTGATCTTCCTTCAGCAAGAATCATTTTAATTTGATTCTACTCTCACTTCTGATCTTATTTCTTAGAAATTTTCTATCCATTGGCCCCCATGTTGGTTATAAATTCCCACTTGCTATGCTGTATTGGCCCAGTCTCCCTAACACTACACAATCCCATTGTGATGGTCCCTATACCTTTCTCAGTGGTCTTGAATAAAGTTTGCTTTACCATATTTTAACAAATATCATTGAATAGTTTTGTTTTTTTTTTAAATTAGAGGTTTTTGCTATAGGATGTGT